GCAATAGAGTGAAATCTGGTTTGAATCCATGAAGAACTTTATAGGGAGAACGATTGCGATGAGTGGCAGTAGGTGTGCGATTGATCAAGTAAGCAGTCATCAAAATTGCTTCACCCCAGAACTTATTGGTAAACTGGCCTGAAACAATAAGGCTCTTGCCACGTTAAGAATATGTCTGTGCTTATGTTTGACTCTACCATCCAGCTGTGGAGTCCCCACACAGGATGTCTGATGTATAATCCCACACTAAAAAAAAACGAGGAGAAACACATGAAATATGTTATGCTATCACTACGAACACCTTGACAGACTTGCCAAATTATTTTTCTGTGTATGCCAAAAAAGTTGTTAAGGCTTAGCGCACTTCCGATTTATGGATTAGCAAATATGTCCAAACAGCTCTTGAAAAATCATCAACGATGGTAAAAAAATAAACTGCTCCACAAGAAGAGGGAGCTCGGTATACACCCCAAACATCACAATGTATTAAAGAAAAATAATCAGTTGTTTTACTAATACTATTAGAAAAACCCTCTCTGGTTTGTGTAGCTCGAAAACACACATCACAAGACTTGAGCTAACAGAAACAGATGAACTAGAAAATGATGGTAAACCCGAAAGCACGGAAAAACTAGGATGCCCCAAACGCTGGTGCCATAAGCCTGATTGGAAGCCATATCAACGGTGTGAATCTTCGCAGTAGGAACATCCATCAAGTAATACACCCATCTCGCTCTTAACCAGTTCCAATCAGAGTCCTCGAAAAACGGTCCAGAAAGATACAAACAGTATCAGTAAACATATCGAAATAGCTTGTTTGCCGTAATATTTTAGAGACAGAAATCAGTGTGCAATTCAACGAAGGCACATAAAGAACTTTAGTCAACAAGACTTTGTCCGAGAGAGGAAAAACTCCCATTCTCAGCCCAAAGGTTTGACTTCCATCCGTGAAATCCACAAAACACGGTGGAATGGAAACAAGATCGGTTAACAGAGACAAATTCTCGGTCTTGTGTGGGAGGCTCTTGTGTCAAGAATAACATCGCCTTGTTTAGTCTATCTTCACACTTATGGATTGACTACCTTTTATGCTACAACTGCTTAATGGGATTGATACCCACAAAGACTAAAAACTCTTGTCTATCAAAATGGAGGGTAAACTTGCAAAAAAAAAAAAAATCACTTGAAGGGTTAATTTGCAGAAAACCCTTAAACTAACCACAACTCTTTGTTCTCGGTTTACTTAATAATGATGGGAAAACTCATAATTTTGAGGCAAGTTCCTCCTATAATAAGAAGAGGAAATGATAGAAGATGCACTGGTCTATGTTGTTTTAATATTTTCTGATTTTACTCTACTCCTTCAGTCCTTAAGTTTGGTTCGATATGCGGTCGACCGAATACTTTGCTATGGTTTGTTAAACTAAGACAATTGCTTAAGTACCTCAAGTTATTTATGTTTCTATAAGGTTCTTAAATTTTTACCACTCTTTTTAGGTTTCCTTTATTTTGTTATTGGAAGCATATTGATCAACTACTCTGTAATCGGTTTTAAAATGTTAAAAAGAGTTTATATGTTTTTTTTTAAAATGTAATCGGTTTCTCAATCTTGTTTATATGTTTTTTTTTAATGTCGATCAAGTACTTTACTATGGTTCATTTGTTTTGTTATACTTTGATGTGACTATAAGGTATGTTTCAACTATTATTTACCAACATTTGTTACTGTTATTTTATAATCAAGTCGATTATGAACTTAACTTCTATTGTTACTAAATATCTCTATATTATTATTTGAGTAGACATTTACATAAATGAACCTTTATTTGTAAGATATTACAAAATATTTTAAATAAATGAACATTTAATTATAAGATAATTATATGATATTACATAAATAAATTTCACAAATATAGAAAGCGCAATTAAATACTCTTCCATAAGAGATATTTAAATATAGAGCTAACATATTTGTTTTGAATATATATGGATATAAATCAAAAATGTATTTAGTTTTTTTTACTTTATTAAAATATGAAAATATATTCTATTATTTTAAATAATAATCAATCCATATATATGAAAAAATCTATTAAAATTTTTGCAATATTTCATTTATATTTTCATAATTAATTAGTATCGTTGCAAAAATTAATTCAATTATTTTTACAGGTTATTCGAAAAAATATTTTAGTAAATCGCAAAATAGATTAAGTAGACGGGTTTGTCCACTTTCACAATCGTGTATATAATCATTATTAACACATATTATAGAATTCATTTACTAAAAATGATAGTTTGATCTCTAATATAATATTCACAATTAAATGTTTATTATATATATATATATTTATATTCTAATCCATGTTAATATGTATATATGTGTATATATTTTAATATCATATCACTTTTACATTTACTAATAATTAAACCGGATAACAAAACTAGCTCAAAGTCTTATTCAATGATTTATTTACAAGTAAATATCAGTTGTGTAATATTTATATATGTATTGTTATCTAATTGCCACCAATTTTATTTATTTATATTTTATGTTAAAATATTTTTGTCACCAATATTAATTTAACAAAAATAATTAAAATTTTTTACCGCACACAATATGCGGGTTAATTCCTAGTAATATATAAATTAATAAGACTGTTATATTTACCTGCCAAATCATAAACTACATAAATAAACCTAACTACAAAAAAAAGCATGGATCAACCAGGAGATCAAGCTGAGCACCAGGCTAAACTGAATCAGAATCAAGCAGTGAGGAATGAAGCACAAGCCTTTGTAAACCAGAATATGGCAGCCAGAAATGAGCACCAAGCTCAGATGAATCAAAATCAGGCAGCCAGAAATAAGCATCAAGCTCAAGTAAACTAGAAAGGGTAAAAACTAGAAAGGGTATCACGTCAATCAGCCCTACCCACAACCTCCCAGGCGTCATGAGCCAAATCCAGTCTTTGTTGGAGAGAATGACAGGGCTAATGCCCATCAAAACAGAGCAGGAATCCAAGCTTCACCAGTCCAAAACAACAATTTTGAAGTAAAGGCATCACTTCTCAACATGGTGTAGAATTCAAAATTCCATGGACTCCCTATGGATGATCCTCTTGAGCACCTAGATCAATTTGATAGAGTCTGTGATCTGACAAAGATTAATGGGGTCTCAGAGGATAGCTTCAAGTTAAAACTGTTCCCTTTCAACTTGGGAGGCAAAGCTCATCAGTGGGAGAAGAACTTACCTAGAGGTTCAATCCAAACATGGGAACAATGTAAGGTGGCCTTCCTTTCTAAGTTCTTCTCCACATCAAGAACAGCCAAGTTTTGGAATCAAATCTCAAGCTTTACTACTTAGTACTCTATACAGAGGAGCAATGATACATATGGGAAGACTATGACAGAGCTTATAGAAGAAATGGGTCTAGTGAGGAAAAAATGATGAGAAAGGACATCAAGGAGCTCCAGAGCAAGTTGGATATGGTTCTGGTGGCCACTCAAAAGCCAATCCATTTTGTGGGAGAGTTTGATGAACAAGCTACTTGATTTAAGAATTTTAATGAGGAGGGACTAACAGAAGAGGAGCTGCATTACATTGGGAATCAAAACAAGTTCCAGAGGTATAACAACTTTAACAACCCAAACTTGTCATACAGAAACCCCAATGTAGATAATCCAGGATATCAGGTCTATCCCTCTCAACAAGCTCAGCAAATCTATGTTCCCAAGAATCAGTTTCAAGGGAACTTTCAGAGAAAACAACAATATGTTCAGCAACCTCAGCAATATGTTCAGCAACCTCAGCAGAATCTGGGTAGCACCTTCATTGGTGAACCGCCTTTGAAAAAGTTTCCACCAGGGTTTGGACAACAGCAGATGGGACAGCAACAGCCGGTTCAACAGCAGATGGGTTCAGATTTGAGTGGGGTTCTACAGCAGCTACTTCAGGGTCAACAAAGGGTTGAACATAGTTTTACTGATCTGGGTTCAAAGTATGGAAGAAGGACAAATTGGCCGAGCCGTTCGCAAAACATGGGCCGAGCTGCCCTATGAAGTTAGTGGGCCGAGCTGTGCTCGCCAATACAAGTTGGGGGAGCCGTGGAGACAGATCAGCGGGGAGAGCCGTAAGAAGGACGCAGAGTGGGCCGAGCCGCACTTCAACGTAGTTGAGCCGAGCCGCGCTTCGGTACCAAGACGCGCTTCAATACGCTTGGGCCGAGCCGCGCCTCGGCAAGGTGGACCAAGTCACATCTCAACTCGAGTGGCGAATGGGCCGAGCCGTGGAGAAGGTTAGATGGGCCGAGCTGTGAGAAGAACGGCGAGCGGGCTTAGCAGCGCAAGAAGAGGCATGGGCCAAATCGTTTCCTTAAGTGTCGGGCCGAGCCGGTTTTCCAAGATGGGCCGAACCAAGGATTTGGAAGCCAAAAGCCCACAGAAGTCCTAGGCGAAGTATTATGACGGTGGCCGCACGAAGCGATAAAGAAATATGCCTAAAATCTCTCCCGAGATTCTCGGAGAGGCGGTTTAAGAAGTTAGTATAAATAAGAGATTTCTACGATTCATTATGTAATTTTTGCAACCCTAAGCAATAAGAGCTAAACACTTTTACAGCAAGAAAAACTTTCTTCCGATCTTACTGTTCTTGACGATAAACCCTAGAAGTTTCCGATCCCTTATTATTCCTTAAACAAATTTCTGGTTGTGCGAGTTTTGGCTCACACAATTTGGCGCCGTCTGTGGGGAATCGAAACTTTCTTACTCTAAATCGACAAGACTTTAAGATCCGAAGAACATGGCAAGCAACATCCGCGATGATAACGACAACAATGGTAACGGCTCGGAGAAGGACGCTCTGGCATCGGGCACAACAACGGCAACGACCGAAACCCAAGAGGAGATGCGAAACATGATGGCTGCGTTGATGAAGAAAATCGACGAACAGGGTTCAGCAATCGACAAAAAACGAGGCGATTACGGAGAGGCTCGACGCGATGGCGGCCGAGCGACTACACCCAACTTGGAGAGCCGGAATTCCCGACCCGATGGATGGAATCTGGAGACGCTTTGATTTCTCAACACCTGCAGAAGCCTCAGGGAGCGGTGCAAGAAACCCCTCGGCTCCTCCGATGTTTCGTCCCCTCGACGAACAGACTCCCGCGGCAACCCGAGTCAACATGACCGAGCCGCCCCCTCTCCGCCGGAACTCAAGGCGACGAGCCGGCGAAGAAGTTGCAAAAACTCTCGAACTCAAAGAGTTGCAAGCCTCGATGGCTCGGATAGTAGCTGAAATACGCACCATGAAGTCCCAAGTGCACAACGCAACAAGCGCCGTGCCCGAAATCGACCGAATGCTTGAAGAAACTAAGAGAACTCCATTCACGGCAAGAATCACGGAGGCAAGGATTCCCGAGCCCGGGAAAGTGAGAATCCCGTTCTATGAAGGAACAACCGATCCGAAAGCACACATCACAGCGTTTCGGATAGCAATGGGACGAGCCTTCACAAAGAACGCCGCTAAACTGACCGAACGGGAAGTAGATGCCGGATACTGCCTGCTCTTCGTGGATCATCTTAAGGGGGCCGCACTCGAGTGGTTTTCAAGACAGGAACGCAATTCAATCGGCAGTTTTCAACAGCTCTCCGCCTTATTCCTTAAACAATACTCGATGTTTATGGATAGAGGAACATCCGATGCCGACCTGTGGACACTATCCCAAGGACCGAACGAACCGCTTTGGGATTACATGCCAAGATTCAAGGCAGTCGTATCCAAAATAGAAGGGATAAGCGACAAGGCTGCGCTCGAGGCTCTGAAACGATCTTTGTGGTACAAATCCGAGTTCCGACGGGAGATGGCTCTCAACACGCCGCAAACAATTCAAAATGCTTTGCACCGCTCATCAGACTTCGTCGTAAACAAGGAAGAAATGAAAAACTTGGACGAGCAGTACGAAGCAACGAAAGCAGCAATCTGAGCTCAATTTTGCTGTGCCCCGCGAAGAAGGGCAACCCATCGAACAACACAACAATGCAGAGCTCGGATGAACCTAGAAGCGGAGGTGCCCATAACTATCAGGTAGGCACCGGACGCGGAAGAGGAGAGCCGCACAACAGCACTTGGGTGAGAAAGTCCGCCAACTACGACGAGAAGGCTTTCTGTGAGTATCACCAGACCTACGGGCACTCAACAGCACAATGCCGAACTCTAGGAGCAAAACTCGCGGCTAAGATGGCAGCGGGAGAGCTCCAAAACGCGGTCAATCTCAAAGACCTTGTCCCTAGTGAACCACAAGAAAGAGCTGAGCCGAGCGGCGCGGCGGAACCCGCGACTCCGCTGAAGATGGTTATGATGTGAGCATGGAAAGCATGGAGAGCTTGGAGCATGGAACTAAACCGAAGCTTGAACCCGTGGAGCTTGGAGCTGAAGATGATGAAGCATTGATCGTCCCCAATGGTCCCATGACAAGGTCTAGAGCAAAAGAGTTCAATAAAGTCATCAACAACCATCTACTTACCATTCAGGCCAGCCTTAGAAGTGAAGCTTGTCCAGCCACATTGGTTGTGATTCAAGCCGTCTAAGCGATGACAATGGAGGTGTGTGGACTTGTGCTCTTTTTCCCTCCTCTTGGTTTTGTCCCAATGGGTTTTCCAAGAGAGGTTTTTAACGAGGCTTGGCCACATACTTCTTACCTCAGCCCATTGTCATCATTCGGCCCTCTTCTCTTCTTGTTTCAATTTGAATTTCGTTAGTGTTATTTCTATCTTCTTTCTATTCAAACTTGGTCTTTATGTGCATGAATTTTCGAGGCATGTCTCTTAAATTCTATGCTTGACCGAAATGACTCTTCTCCTTCTTCCCCCTTCTCTTTATATTCTGTACTTGACTCTTCATTCGATTTTCATCAAACTTCTTATTTCTAAAACTCTCTCTAGTTGTTTGATCCGAATAGTGTGTAATATCTATTCAACTTGATTCTTCTCTTGGTGTGTAATATCCTAGAAGAATTAAGCATCGAAAGTCTAAGGAACATCCGCAATCCTTAGAAGTTTCACTTCACCCCCATCGTTCAGATCATTCACCAAACCAAATCATCACTTCCGCATCACCAATTCAACCACACGAAGAGCATCAAGGGGCAAGACTCATTCATCACGATCAGGAGTCTATCACCGGCGCCGAGACCCGCTACCCCCAGATCTAGAAGGCCGCCTTAGCTGTCGTAATCTCGGCTCGCAAACTGCGTCCGTATTTTCAATCAAATTCGATTGTTGTGCTCGCTACACTTCCGCTGCGCTCGATCCTACACAGGCCGAGCCGCACAGAAAGAAGAAGGCCCGAAACGTTTAAGTCCCATCTACTGCGGGATGGGTGCGCGGGTCAGAAGAGGGAAAAGTCACAGGTGCTCGCAGATTTTCTCATTGAACTTCCAGCCGAAGCAACAAACGAGCCGACTCAGACGAAGTATAGACGCTGCACGTCGACGGCTCGTCATCTAAACACGGCTCGGGAATAGGAATCCGTCTCACCTCTCCCACCGGAGAAATATTGGAGCAATCTTTTCGCCTGAACTTCCACGCCTCGAACAACGAAGCAGAATACGAAGCACTGATCGCCGGCATACGACTAGTGCAGGGAATCAGAGTTCGAAAGATAAGAACCTTTTGCGATTCACAGCTCGTAGCATGTCAATTCAACGGAGAATACGAGGCGAAGGATGGACGAATGGGAGCTTACCTCAAGATGGTCCGAGAGTTGGTGCAAAAGTTTGACGAGTTCGAACTCACGCGAATTCCCCGAGGAGAAAACACTTTGGCCGACGCCTTGGCAGCACTCACTTCGACCTCAGACCCGGACCTCCGCCGGACAATCCCAGTTGAGTTCATCGAACGTCCTAGCATCGAAGAGGTAGAAGGAGTTCGGCTGATAAATCCTCCTCAACAAGGACCAGAGCACGACGAAGCCATTCCTATGGATGAAGACGCCTCACCGGCCGAGCCGGAGTACGGCTGCGACAAAGAATGGCTCGGAGCTATCCGAGTGTATATCGCCGATGGAGAGGTGCCAACCGACAAATGGGAAGCCCGCAAACTAAAAGCTCAGGCCACGCGGTATGTCCTCGTCGATGGCGAGGTGTTTAAATAGAGATTTTCAGGGCCTCTCATGACATGCGTCGAAGGACCGGAGGCAAGAAAGATCATGCACGAGGTGCACAGCGGCGCGTGCGGGAACCATTCCAGCGGAAGGTCGCTCGCTATCAAGATAAAATGGCACAGCTACTTCTGGCCCACGATGGTCAAGGACTGCGAGAAATTTACGGCGAAGTGCGAGAAGTGTCAGCGGCACGCTCCAATAATTCATCAACCTACCGAGTTGCTCTCGTCAATTTCGTCACCTTATCCGTTCATGAGATGGTCGATGGACATCGTCGGACCTCTACATCGCTCGAAGCAGAAGCGTTTTCTGCTCGCCCTCACGGATTACTTCTCCAAGTGGGTCGAAGCCGATTCCTACGCAAGCATAAAGGATGTTCAAGTCGAACACTTCGTCTGGAAAAATATCATCTGCAGACACGGGGTCCCCTACGAGATAGTCACCGACAACGGATCCCAGTTCATCTCAACATGCTTTGAAGCCTTATGCGAGAAGTGGAAAATCCGCCTAAGCAAATCTACGCCAAGATACCCTCAAGGGAACGGGCAAGCCGAAGCAGCCAAAAAGACGATCCTCGACGGTCTGAAAAGAGGCTCGACGCCAAGAAAGGACGGTAGGCAGACGAACTCGAAGGAGTCCTTTGGTCTCATCGGACAACTCCGCGCCGAGCTACCGGGGAAACTCCATTCGCTTTGGTCTACGGAACAGAGTCGTAATTCCCCCCGAGGTGGATTTCCCAGGTATTCGACGAAGACTTCTACCAGGACAGGAGGGCTTGAACCACTTAATGATGCTAGATGAGCTCGACCTAATCAACGTAAAGCGCGACCAAGCCTTAATTTGAATCCAGAACTATCAACAAGCAACGGCGAGATACTACAACAAAAACGTTCGTAGTCGAAGATTCAAAGAAGGGGAGCTCGTCCTCCGAAAGGTCTTCCAAAACACTGCCGAGAAGAACGCAGGAAAGCTCGGAGCAAATTGGGAAGGTCCTTACAAGGTTACAAAAGTGGTTCGTCCAGGAGTCTACGAACTCGCGACACTAGCTGACGAAGCGATTCCAAGATCATGGAACGCAATGCATCTAAAGAAGTATTATCACTAAAGCTACAGCACGGCCAGCATGAACTACGGGACGACTTGACCCCTGCAAAGGGTACGTAGGCAGCCCGTCCTAAAAAGGGGGAGGGGAGTGGGTACGTATACACATACCTCCTTTAACTCTACAATTTTAGCTTGCTCACTTAGGAACATCGCCACTTCGGCCCATTTTCAGTTCGTTTTGAATCATCTACTTATTTCATGTTTACCTCGGATTTCTAGTTCGTTCATTATTGCTTCAGCTAGTTTCTCATTCTTTCTAAATCAACAACTTATTTTAACAAGCTCGGATTTTTAAATTCTTTCACTCATCACTTAGGCGAGTAAATCATACCACTTCGGCATGATATCATGACCTGATTACCTCGGACCTTTATTGGTCCTCAGTTTCAGTTCGGCAAACTAAGCCTCCGAATGCCTCGTCTCGTTGCTGGCCACAACGGGGCAACAAATACAAACTAAACGGACTTTTACCACCTTTCCTAGGACGAGGGTGCAAGTTACATCCTCTATGGATAAAAATTGAAGCGCGCTATACAAATATTAGACCAAAAACGTATCGGTCGCCACAGTTCACTATCGCACACGAGATTATAAGTCGAGACTACATCGCTTTTTCTAAAACCGAAGTGAATTCTTAGAACCCGGCAAAACACACTCATCCTCTCCGAAACGCCGGTCTATAGTCAAATTCAACGAGACTACCAAATCATCCTTGTTTAACAAAAACAAAACGCCTCATCGTTCACACGGCTCGGCACCATGCAAAGAGAAAACGCCTCGTCGTTAAACACGGCTCGGCATTGCCAGCAAAAGTTGCCTTGATATTATCATTTAAAACTTTCCAGCTTCACCTAAAACAAAAGACGCTCCACAAAATTAACTCCCAGCTCGGGATTTAGAACCCAAACGAGATCCTTAACAACTCACCCCTTAAGCCCGTATTTCTATCGATTTCGAAGAGCTCGGCTAATGAAATCGTTCTCGGCACAACAGTCTTCGTCCTTGACAATTTTTTCTAAGCCAACAGTTTTCATTGATATTTTCACAGATCGTCAAAAATTAGTGCATTAAATCCAAAAATGGCTAAGGAAAAGAGAATATATCCATAAGCAAAAAATAAGAGTCAAGTGGATAAAGCCATCTAGGCACCAATCACAGTAACATACAAGTTCGAAAGAAGGATAAAGCTATCCAGATGCTGAGAACAAAAAGGCGAATATAAAAGATAAAGGAAGAGAGGGAGAGGTCAAGCAGCAGAACGCGTCTCTCGTTCGGCAAGGAGGCTCGAAGGAACAGGAGTACCCGCGTTGGACCCGTTCAGATCCTGGACACCGAGGTTAGCTGCCGTCTCCTCGATCGGCTCGTTACCCAAAAGGGTATCGACGGAATCTGGCGATACTGGCGAAAACACCAAGCCACCTCGGATCTCAGACGCGATGTGGTCGTACGTGTCGTCGTCAGTATACTCGGTCTCCCAAGCCCTCAGCTTCGCCTCTTCAGCGTCCAAAGATCCATCGGGCTTCCGAAGCTCCTCGATCATAGCAAGGTTCCCTTTGATCTGTCCAAGCTCGTTTTCATCGCTCTTGGCTTTCTCCAGCTTGGCCAGACCTTCCTCCACTTTGGAGAGACGCTCTTGAAATGTAGCCGTCAACTCGCGCCTCACCTCCTTCGTGGCCCGCTTCACCTTAGCGTCGAATAGAGCGTCTTTAGCTTCAATGCGCCTCTTCAATAAAGCCACCTCGGCACACTTAGCTTTCCTGGATTCTTCAAGACGAGTCACCACGGAGGACACCTTGTCAACATTGGCTCGGAGAGTTATTTTCTCCTCTTCAAGCTTCTTAATTCTGGCCCTCGCCTAGGTTACCTTTCCCTTAGCCGCCGCAGCTTCCTTCTGAGCCTCCTCCAAGCGTCGCTCGTCCTTAACCAAGTCCGATTCATAACCGGCCATCACGTTGATAGCCGCGACAAACTGCAAAAATGGTGATTCCTTAGATTCAAGGATTACATGATACCAAGGAAGAAGCAAATTAGAAAAGTACCTTGGTACCACTCTGCGCCATGGCAGCGTAGGACTTTGACCGCCTCAACTGCTCGGGGGG